TTTGCAAAGAAACATGGCACTCGACTCCAGCACAAAAAGGCCCTCGAGCTCCAGCTGCCGACCGGTCCCCTTTACGATCTGCTCGAAGGTCGCGTCCCCCACCCGTCGCAGACCTACCATCGCCTGGCCGAATTTACCGAATCGGAAGAGAAGGAGTTCATAAATCGGGAGATCGGGGAACGCCGGACTCGTCTGGGTGCGAAGATTGACCAGGTGACGCTGGAGGTGAAGCGCGAGGCCTTCAAACGGAGTCAACTGGAGCCGCTCTATCGCGGAATTATCGACTGGTCGCACGATGATCAGGTGCGACGCACATACGAAGAAAAACTACTAGAGCGTGGATGCGACGTGCTTGCGGTCTCCCCGGTGAACGAGAAGGGTGCCAAGCGGGCCGAGGTCCTCAAGGCCGCTCAGGACATGGTCATCATCAAGCACCCGTTCGAGCTGGCTTGGAAGATTGTCCTCGAGTGGCATGATGTTCAAACCTTCTCGGAGTGGGACCGCGTTTTCTTAAACGATTACATCGAGTTCTTTCCGGAATCCGGGCTTTCCAAGATCCTCAAGGGCTTTCTGGCCAGTGACATTTCGCCCTTTCCCAAAGACACTGAGGAGTCTGAGGATTCCAAGGATGCGAAGCAGTCGAAGAATTTGAAAGAACCCAAAGAGGCCGACATCAACGGACAGAATGGTGAAAATGGCAGTGCCGAGAGCAACGAGTTAGCTGCCCAAGACAGTCTGATTCTAATGGTGGAAGGCCTGGATCTGGCATCATCGTCCGTCGTCGCTCACCGGATCATGAGCGAGCTTTACCTTTACCTTGAAGAATACGAAAGCGTTGTGGATGTTGCTCGGAAGGGGCTCCAAAATCTCCAAACCCTAGTCCAAATGACGGGATTGAATCTCAAGGATACCAAGGATTCGATAAACATCACGCTTGCCAATTCCCTGATCTATCACCAGTCACCCCGGCATCACCCGGAGGCGAAGCGGATCTTCCAGGAAATATTGTCGAGGAAACCGAAATTGACGAGCTGCTTGCTCGGTATTGGTGTGATCCTCAAGGTCGATGAGGACTACGCTGAAGCCGTCAGCTTCCTCGAACGCGCGTTAGAGCGGGATCCAACGAATATCAAGGTCCGCGCGGAACTGTTTTGGTGCAGAGCGCTCAACGGCGACCTCGTCTCTGGCCTGCACGGCTTGCAGGAGGTTCTCGCAGCGTTGAAAAAGGAACGCGTAGAGAGTCGGGAGTTCAAGGGTGAAATTCTCTACCGGATTGGATACTGTCAATGGGAGACGGACACATCTTCGGCTGCACGCAAAGACCGAAACGGTGCCTACGCCAGCTTCCTCGCAGCCGTTCAAGCCAACATGAACTTTGCCCCGGCATATACCAGTTTGGGTTTTTACTACGCGGACTACAAGAAAGACAAGAAGCGAGCGCGCAAGTGTTTCCACAAGGCGTTCGAACTGTCTCCGTCGGAGATTGAAGCCGCCGAGCGACTTGCCATGACGTTCGCGAACCACAAAGAGTGGGATCTAGTCGAGGCGGTATCGCAGCGGGTGGTCGACTCGGGTAAGGCCAAGCCAGCGCCCGGCTCGAAGAGGAGAGGCTACAGCTGGCCCTATGCTGCGCTGGGCACGGTCCAAATTAATAAACAACAGTACGCCAAAAGTATTGTTTCATTCCAGGCTGCCCTACGGATCACGCCCGGGGACTACCACTCGTGGGTGGGGCTCGGAGAAAGCTATCACCACTCGGGACGTCACATCGCGTCTACCAAGGCGTTTGAGCATGCGCAACAACTTGAGGACACTCTTTCTCGGGCCGAGAAGGAGAATGTCTGGTTCGCGCGCTACATGTTGGCGAATGTCAAGAGGGAGCTTGGAGAATACGAAGACGCCATCGCGAGATACGAGGACGTCCTAAGCATCCACCCCAACGAATTCGGGGTCTCGATCGCACTTCTCCAGACGTTAGTCGAGAGTTCCTGGAAGAGTCTCGACTCCGGCCTTTTCAACGACTCTATCGAGCAGGCGCGTAAAGCCCTCCTCGTCGCCAGGTCCATCGCTACGGAGCGAGTCGACATTTTCAATCTCTGGAAAGGCATCGGAGACGCGTGCACGATGTGTTCCTTCGTCAAAGCCAAGGCAAGCAAAATGCCCCTAGACGAAATGCAAGGACTCCTCGGCACACAGCTGGAAACGGCAGCCTTCGACCTCCTGGCCGATGTCGATGAGCTGGGGGCGAACTCCCTGTCGCTGCTTAAAAGCGAGGAGTTGAGCCCGTCCGACAGATTCATGTACGCCTCTATTCTGGCTTTCAAACGGGCGATCCATGTTTCCCAGCAAGACATCCACGCCCAGGCCGTGGCTTGGTATAACCTAGGATGGGCCGAGTACCGGGCCTACAAAACCGTGCATATCATCTCGAAGAACAAGGGAAAGAAGCCGCAGCGGAGGTTCCTCAAAGCAGCGATACGCTGCTTCAAGCGAGCTATCGAACTGGAGGCTGGAAACTCGGAATTCTGGAACGCGTTGGGAGTAGTGACCACCAGCTTGAGCCCCAAAGTGGCCCAGCATGCTTTTGTGCGGAGTCTGCATCTCAACGACCGGAGCGCGCAGGTGTGGACGAACATCGGGGCCCTTTACCTCATCCACAACGACATCCAGCTCGCGAATGAGGCCTTCACACGTGCACAGTCCTCGGACCCTGATTACTCCCCGGCGTGGGTCGGCCAAGGCTTCCTGGCACTGCTGTTTGGCGATCCGCAAGAGGCGAGGGGTCTTTTCGAGCACGCATTCGATATCTGCAACTCGTCGTCGGCGTTGTCGAAGAAGCAGTACACCATGACTTTGTTCGACCACCTGATGACCGATTCGTCGGCCTCGAACGAAGTCTCGGAGCTCATCCAACCCTTCTTCGCTCTCCATCAGCTTTGCTCCCAGGATCCATCCGATCTCCCCTTCGTCCATCTGTCCTCTCTATTGGCAGAACGGATCGGCGAGCTCTCCGATGCGGAAACCAGCCTGCGAGCTCTCTGCTCCGCCGTGGAGGCCGAGTACGAGGTGTCCGAATCGGCGGGGGCGCTTTCGAGATACGCACAAGCGAACGCGGACATTGCCCGTGTTCTGCTCGCACGGCAGGAGTTCGAGGAAGCGGTCGAGAAGGCGGAGACGGCGCTAATGCTGTCCGGCGAGGAAGATGCGGAGAAGTTCGACCCGGAGACAAACCGTACATTGCGCTTGTCAGCGCACCTCACGGCAGGACTGGCGCACTACTATCTGAAGTCGATGGACAGCGCGATCGACATGTTCCGTGATGCATTGCAGGAGGCGGACAATGCGCCCGAGGTCGTATGCCTCCTGGCCCAAGTGCTGTGGGCCAAGGGCGGCGAGGAGGAACGAAGCGTGGCCCGTCAACAGCTGTTCGACTGCGTTGAGAACCATCCGGACCACGTCGGCGCCGTGACCCTGTTAGGGGCAATTGCGCTACTCGACGGTGACAGGGATGCCATCGAGGCTGTCGAATCCGACCTGCACCAGATGATCACGCGCGATGACATCGAGATTCACGAGCAGTCTAAGCTTGTGAAGCTCTTGACGGCGGTGTCTGCGCTGGGTTTCGGCGATAACGCGGACGTTCCTGAGGAGCAGAGACGGGTTGGAGAGGCGACGGCTGCGGTGATGAGAGCGCCGTATCAGCCCCAGGGCTGGATGGAACTGTCTGCCGCTTCGCAAGCTGCGCATCCCGCGCAGATGGCCGTGGGGCGAGCGCTACGGAATGCGCCGCCTCGCGGTCGACTGGAGGCCGTCGATCTGGCCGAGGCCTATTCGCAGACGGGTAAGGCGAGTGATGCGCTGCGGGCGATCATGGTTGCTCCGTGGAAACAAGAAGGTTGGGACGAGCTCAACCATGCAGTGTCCACCACAACGTAGACAGTATGAGTGTGGTGGGATATGGAGGGTTACTGTGTAGATGTTAGACCACATAGTTAGACCTGGAATGAGTGACGATGACAATACATACCTCGAGGGGCGTTTCCCCTCGTTTTCCTCTGCAAATCATCCCTGAGCGCGCTCCATCTCCCCCAAACGATCCAACAACCTCTGTTTCCTCCCCTCCCTCCACGCCAAATCCAACGCCTCCACCTTCCCCCCAAGCAACGTAACACACTCCGGCGTCAGCAGCACCATCCCCCTCGCAACCGTCACATCCCGCAGCACCAACTTCGCCCCAATAGCCATACTCCCCAGCGCAATCCCACCCACACTCTTCAACTCGATCGCCACCGCACGCGTGCCCCTCGCATCCTGCAAAATCAACCGATGCGGCCCATTACTCCCGCCCGACTCATGGGCTCCCGCATTCGTCGTCGTCGTTGACGAACCCCTCGTCACACCCTCCGAGTCATCGACGTTGACCGTGCGCACGATCTCCCGCCCGCGGACGGCCTCGCCGCGCTCGACGCGCTCGATCGCCTCCACCTGGCTCCAGAGGCTGGTGCCGATGTCGTCGATGTCGAGGACTTGGACAGGGATGGGGCCTTGCAGGCGGCGTTCTTGAACGGTTGGGTTGAAGATATCTTCTGGGAGGAGGGATGAGGAGGTCTCTGTGGTGAGGGAGTCGCGGAAGTCGGAGGCGAGGAGGCGGAAGTGGGCGGTTTGGGTGAGTGCGGAGAGGGGCACGGTGCGGTGTTGTTGGGTGGATGCTAGGAAGGCGTTGAGCCAGGTGGGGGATACCGGGAGGGAGTATTTGGTTTGAAGGTGAGTTGTTAGTTGGGCGGATTTTGAGGCCATTGGGATTGTACTCTTCGAGATTATACTTCTGAATTTTATTGGGGAAAGAAAAGGTGAAGTTGGAGATGATTTGGAGATGCGACGGGGGGAATAAATAATGCATGCACGGACCACTGCTTAATTCACTGCCGACTGACCGCCTTGCTGGCATCATCTGTCCGTCTCTCTCCTTTTGGCGCCTCCTTTACCTTCATTCTCCACGTCTTGCATCCAATTGCACATATTGTCTCTCGTTTCCCTGGAACCCCGAAACACAACATTGCTATAATTGTCTACTCTGCTATTTCCACCATGTCGACTTTCTCCTCCCCCCGTCCCTCCATCACCTCCTCCCGCGCCCACTCGCCCTCCGGACGCCCGTCCCTCGACACCCTAAATACCAATACCGGCGGCGGCCTCAGCGCATCATCGACGCCCTCCACCGCACGAGCTCTCTCCCCCTCCATGTACCCACGGCGCAATCGCGCCGCCCTCCGCGACTATTACAACCTGAAACCCAGCGCAGCCGCAGAAGCCGGACGCCGGTCTCGCAGCGTGCCTCGGCACACCGACGCAGGGGACATCTCAAATCCAACAGTCGTAGCGACAGGGACAGAGCTGGACAGCACGGACTTTGACGCCCAGCGCTACGTGAACCAGCTGCTCGCGTCGTCGTCGCTCGCGACGGTGCTGAAGGCGGAGAACTCGCTCGTCGGGGACATCCGCACGCTAGACAGCGAGCGCAAGGCGCTCGTGTACGACAACTACTCGAAGCTGATCCGCGCGGTTGAGACGATCGGGAAGATGCGTAAGAGCATGGACGATCGGGGGGCGCCGTTGACGATGACCAAGACGCTGGAGCCGGCTATTGCGTTTGTGGCGGAGACGGCGGGCGGATTGATCCAGGAGGGAGAGGAGCATCGGCGGCGGATGAGGGAGATTCGTGCCTCTGGGGAGACGGATCGGATTAGGGAGGCCGAGAAGGCCACTGTGAAGTGGGTGCTGGGGGCGCCTGCGCGGCTGGAGGGTCTGGTTGCGGAGGGGAAACGGGATGATGCGGAGAAGGACTGGGATGAGGTGGTTGATGTGTTGGAGAAGTGGGAGGGCGTTAAGGGTGTTGAGAGTGTGCGGAAAGCTTGCGAGAAAGTCATGGGGAAGAAGAATGAGGCGTCTTGAGGGGTTGGTCTCATGATATTGCATCTTTCCGACCTCTAGCCAGCTCTAGTCCACTCAGGGGCATACTTGCTACGGGCAAGGCGACAGAGTTGACAAGTCTACTCTCTTCTGGATCTGTCCTCTTCCCGGAGTCGGTCAAGAATCACATCTGCAGGTCTTTGACGTGCTGGGAACGCACAACGATGTGGGGAAGAGCTTGCTGCTCAACTCTAGAGAAGCCGTTCAATCCCTCCTGGTACTAGTTACCAGACCAGTCGACAAGCCCACTACCGCATTAAAATGGCAGCCAAAGCAGAGACAAGCATGTAACCCACGCATGGGTATAGCAGCGATTGATCGAACGCTACACCAGACTCTATCGACCTTGGTGGCTGAAACCTCCGATATCACACCAGAATGGACCCAGACACAATACTGCGATTCCGTCGAGCTCCTGCCATGGAACCTTATTCAGGGGTTGGGGTCTCGTTCGTTAGCATGATTAAGGAGGCAAACCCTCCACAGTGTTTTCAAGACGGCCAATTGAGAATGTCGGAGGCAGACAACAGAGTCATCCTTTCAGTAACTCCTGCAAAATGTTCGAACTTCCTTGTAAATGCAACATCATCTGAACTGTACGTCTGCGCTACCACATACGGTGTCGACTGGGCTCACCATACACAACCACAAAGAAAGAACAGCAATGTAACAGAATAATAATAAAATTCTGTGTCAATTATCCTAGAGTAGAACCCCAGGTATTCTTCCAATGAATCAGTCCGTACAGTCCACTCGTCCTTATCATCTGGGATTCTCTTCTCCTTTATTGAACAGTCCCTGTACATTGCAATATATCAAGAAACTGTACCCCTACCTAACCCCCCAAAACATCCCCACTAGAAAACATACTCGCCCTCAACCCATACGATTTCCTCCCCATAATCCCAAAATAAGTATAAGAATCACACACATAATAAACCGGCCTCCAGTCAACAGCCACCAACCCCAGTTCCCTCTCCGCCGTCGCCAGCGCCACCAGCGCCCACCATCTATCCACCCGGGCCGGCGGCGCAAAGAGCATCCATTTCCCGGAGGTAACGCCTGTCTCGCGCGCAAGCGCAAAGATCTGCCGTTCGAGGGTCTCGCGGAGGGGGTTTAGCTCGACTTTGTTGTCGTTCGCGCGGAGGATGGCTGCTTCGTCTTCGTGTTTCTTGTTTTTCTGATCTCTCTGATTTTCTTTGGGTACGTGCTACGAGGAAGAGTATTGTGGTTGTCGTTGGAGTCTTCTGATGGGGGCTCCATGTTCTTCTTTTCTTCGTTTTACCGGAGGAAGTAGTGCCTGAGTTTGGGGGTAGGTTGGATGAAGTATGGGAACGATACCGGTGACTACTGTTGGGTTATATCTCAAAGAAAATTATTCACTTGCTCTTACTGAATATTCCAAAGAGGAAAAGATCTTAAGTGTCAATCGGTCCAGTTCAGTTATCTGTTTGCCCTCTGACTGCTACGCAGCCTTTTGCAACAACTTCCTCTCTCGTATCTACGACCACACCTGTTTCACGAAATCCGTCAGGTCAGCTTTCATGTCCGCAGGCCGTTCCAACGCCGCAAAGTGTCCGCCCTATCACAGTCAGTTCAATCCAAGATGTCTAAGACAGCCCTAAACGCACCGTCTGATGCTCTCTGAAGAAAACCAGATCCCCCGTAGCTGCTGCCCAGCTCTTCGGCGTTGGAATCAGCTCGTTGGGAAAGTATGAGTATCCAAACGGCTTGTGGATGTATTTCTCATTTTGCAAGGCCGCTGCGCTGGCACTGGGTTTGAATAGCTGTTGACGTAAGTCTTTTATCTATTTTCCTCAAGGGTCAAGAGCCGACGTACTTCACGATAGGGGTAGATGGCGCGCGGAAAGGTCTCCGTCAGCCAGTATAGCGACACCATCTCCAGGATGGTGTCCGCCGAGAGTGGCTCGTCAACCCATTCCAGATACTTCTCTCCGACCCTACAGAAGTAAGATACTAGTCCTGGAGGTGATGAGACGGACATACCACGCAAGCAGAGCAATTGGGCTCGAGGCCAGGACGTGACCAATGGTGCTGGGTCGGGTGGCATGCTCCATGGCATAGGCTATCCCCGTAGTCCTGAAGGCGTTCATGCGATCCAGTCCCCGTTTTTCGAATGCGGTCAAATTCTCGGTCGAAGCTCCTTCCGAAGGGGATTGCGTCGGACAAAAGTTCACTTTGTCGTTGTTATCATTCACATACGCGGCAGAAAGACGGCCAGATCAACTCACCGTGAACAGCTGAACACAATGTCAGTCATAGTCAACGCTCCAGATCCCGTCAGCAACACATACCTTTGCAGCTATCATACTTCACCGCTAGCGATCGGGAGACGCCAGCGCCGATGTCACCCCCTTGGGCTACATACCCACTTTCAAAACCGAGCCCCTTCATCAGTTGATCCATGATACGGGCCACATCCTCGCCAGAGAAATCTCGGTCCAGTGGGGGGCCTGAGGAGAAAGCATAACCCGGGAGGGAGGGGACAATGAGATGATACGGGAGGGTGCTGGGGCTGAACTCATCCTTGAACAACTGCAGAAGCGGCAAGAACTCAAAGAAGCTCCCTACCAACCGTTAGCTGTAGATGCAGACGAGGTTGACCACCTAGGATTACCAGGCCATCCATGGAGGAGGATAATAGGGATGGCGTCGGGCTTCTCGGAGAAGAGCGCGGCAAAATGAAGATTGATATCCTCGACTGGGATCGTGAATTGGGGAAAGCTGTTGGCGCGAGTTTCGCACGTTCTCCTATATGGTTCTGCTCAGCCAGATCCATGCAGATATACCTATTAAGCTCGACTGGATGTCATATAATTACCAGTCAAATTGGTTCAACCACTTGTCCCGAGTATCAGACAGCCACTCCGAGGTAATCCCAAATCGACCATCGGACTGGGAGTTTTCATAAGTAGGCGGAGCAATCCTGGACAGCCGAACCAACATATGTAGCTCGACAAGTTTGTCGTCGGACACGGAGACCGAAAAGGGAGTGGGGGAGATGGTCGCGGTGGGAGGGAGTTTACTGAAGGGAAGAGACATGATGTGCTTGGTATGAACTAGTTGACTTATCAATGTGATGTATGAAGTGCGAACTGAAGAAGTAGAAGTGGAAGTGGAAGTGAAAGTAGAGTTAAAGTATAAAGAGAAGAGGAAATGGACGAAGAGCGGGGAAAATTATACTATTTATATACTGATTGAATACTAGCCAGCCTCGAGTATACGTAGATCGTTATAGCCTGGGATTATTAATTATCATCAATCAATCCGTCAATCAATTGCTGAATACTGCAGTATGACAGTCATGAAGGACGAAGATCAATCCAACCGGGGACGATAACCTCTATCAAACTGATAATCCTCGGCCCCACTACCAGATCCTCAATTTCTTCATACTCCAGATCTCCCCACCTCAAGGGATCCCTCCCCAGGTACAAACAGTACTACTATTCACCATGCAACATCCTCCCTCGTCATCAACCGTCTATCTAGACCAACCACCCAGCTGTCTCCAATTCTGCCCCTCAATCCCCTCCCAGTTCATAATCGGCACCTATCTCCTCTCCGAGACGCCCCTCCCCGACGGCACCATCCAGCAATCCAAATCCGGCAGTCTCCAACGATGGTCTCTTAACCCAGAGACCAACGAGCTCTCGCTCCTCAAGAGGATTCCCCTCCCCTACGCAGTCTTCGACCTGCACTTTCACCCGCGGGATCCGACCCTGCTGGCAATTGCCACCAGCACGGCCTCTGTCGCCCTGTTCAAAGTCGACCACGCGAGCTCCGACATCACCAATCTCTGGACTCGCTCCGTGCACGAGGATCCCTCCGTGCCGGCTCTCTTCCTAGCCTGGACGCCGTCGCACTGGCCATCTGGCGACGCCGCCAAGGATGACGGCTTCGCAGTGACCTTCTCAGACGGGCGCACGGCCGTCCTCGCCTCCACCAATCCGCTATCATCATCCAACGGAGACGTTACTGTCAAAGAGATAGGCGCTTTCGACGCAACCGTCCCCATCGAGGTGTGGTTCGTGGCTTTAGCGACCTACGAGGATGCCGACACTCCCGGCAGGAGTAGCATCCCGTACATGTTCACAGGGAACGACTTTGGGTCTTTGCACACCCGCCGACTAGCAGCTGAGCAGGAAGACGACTCTATTTCGCTCTCTGCAGTCGTCGACTACGAAGATCGCGCGCGCCACCACACCGCGGGCGTGACTTCCATCCTTCCACTACCAGTTCCGCTCGCTGACGGCGCGCCGCTTTTACTAACAGGGAGCTACGACGAGTCTCTGCGGGTGTACCACGCGACGCGACGGGGGGCAGTACTGGCGGAGATGGGTCTCGGAGGCGGAGTGTGGCGGTTGCAGCTGCTGAAGACGACGGAGGACGCCGAGGGAGGGATGTCGTTTCTGGTGTTGGCTAGCTGCATGCATGGTGGAGCGAGGGTGGTTCGTCTTGTGGGCGCAGACTTGCAGTGGGATATTGAGGTTGTGGCGGAGTTTACGGAGCATGAGAGTATGAACTATGCGTCGGATGTGTGGAAGCCTGAGGGTGGGTATTCGCTGGATGGGACGGCGGGGTCGGACTTGCTTTGTGTGTCGAGTAGTTTCTACGATCGACGGCTTTGTACGTGGCGGGTCCATGTCTAGCCTTCTCTTTGTTTTCTTTTCCTTTCTTAAAGGATGGTGTAATATAGTTCAAGAATTCAGGAAGATTCGCTAAGTAATCTCATAATGCAAAGGCACCACAATAATAACCCCCCATCCGAGACCAGTAGACATAAATTACCAAAAAAAGACGAAACAGAAACAGGTCTATCTTTAGACAATCGTCTCTAGCTCTCGGGCGTAGCCCACTGCATTTTCGATAATCGTGCCGCTGGCGACCAGAATGTCCTTCTCGGACCGCGCCGCCGCCTCGGGCTCCACGGGGAAGTATATCCGTCCGTCACGCAGCACCCAGCCGCGCTGCTGGGCGAACTCGATGACGGCGCCTTCGGATTCGAGGAATAGGAGGTTCTTGGCGTTGGAGATGGGAAGCGACGGATACGCTTTTTCGGAGCAGTCGGCGATTTCGCTGCGGATGGTTCCGACCAGGACCTGGTGTCGTTAGCATATTCGCATCTCACATATTGGATGGCGATGGCGGAAGGCGGCGGGACGGAAAAGCAAGAAAAAAAGGGAAAGAAAGAAAGAAAGAATGGCACTCACGCTCGAAAACAAGGCAAACTCCTCCGACGGAACCCGCTCCGAGTTCGTCTCCCGCCACACCTTATCGTAGCTCCCCTCCATCAAGTTCCGCTCCAGCTCAACAGGATACTTGATGAACGGATCATCCTCGACACTCTTGCCCTTGAGGCTCGCCTCCTCCACCAGACCCTCCAGCACCGTGTGGAAGCTCGTGCTGTCGCCCATGCTGAGCAGGAGCAGCAGATACAAGCCTGTGACCTTGCTGCGCTGGCTCGTCTTGAAGTCGACCTTGCCGGCCCCGATGCTGTCCCGCTCCAGATCGTAGAAGGGCTGCAGCTGCTGGTAGTATCGTGTGAAGGTGGGAGCGTCGGTCTGCCTGATGGAAGCGAGGGCGCCCACTTCCAGGATCTCGCGAGCCGCAGAGACTAGCTCAGGCGACGTCGATGGTGTCGGGATCAGGGCATTCTGCAGCAGGAGGGCTCGCTTGGCGCGGCTGAGGAGATCGCTGACGGCTTCGAATTGGTGGCGGTTGAGAGCGTTCTGGAGCTCCGAGACGAGGGATCGGATGTCGCCGCCGCTGGCCATGGTGACTGTGACTGGTAGACTGAGAACGGATAGGATGGAGAGGTGTGATAATCAAGAGCGTGGTATTTAGAAGCTATTCAAGTCGGAATCCACCTGCAATGGACGGAGGAGATGGAGGCGTGGTTGTGGATTGGTGACGGTTGGGTATAATGAAGATGGCTGACGTTGTCCGCTCCTCAACCGCCAACCGGAGCTTCCATGAGCTTCGGGCCCGTCGGTCACGTGTTGTGTCTTTTACTAGGCTCCTTCGACAGGCTGCCCTCACTTGTACTCTGAATCAAGTTCTACGGATATCGGTTTTTACAGATGAAAGATCGAGAGCATATGCAATGCGACCGACATGCTACTTCTAGCATCAGCCAAAATAAAACAGCTTTCAGACATGCTATACGCCTACTCAACACTGTTTCATCCAATCCTCCTGATAGATAGAGATACGAGTTAACTAACAGCTTCGATCCTGGAGCAAGTCAAACACGTATAACTATTACTAAAACCAATATACTCTCAGCCAAGCGGACTTAAAAAGACTGAACAATCTTCTCCAGAGTGCGATACACCGGTGTGCCAATCCCCGTGGCCGGATCCCAGCCCTGGGTCGAATTCCAGCTCGCGCCCGGCACTAACGGCCCTAACCCGCCGGCGCAACCCAGTGAACCGCCTTCAATGATATCGGTGAAGCCTTGGTTCAGTGAGTAGAGCCACGGGTTCAGGAATCCGAGTCGGGGCTTGCCAACCTCGAGTCGAGCGGCGTTTAATCGTGCTACAATGGCCGCGAAGACGGGGGCCGACGCACTATACTTCGATCAGTAATTGGTTCACCGTAATCTTCAAAGCCAACGGGATCAAAAAAAAAAAAAAAAGCAAAGAAGCATAAGAAAAGTACAAGAACAAAAAGAGGGGAAACAAACCTAGTACCCCCGGTTTTCGCGTAGGATCCATGGTCTAGGATGATGTAGTTTATCGCCTGTGCTGCAACATCAGGGATGGCTCTGCCACCCGCATTGAACAGCCCCTCAAAGGTATTTCCAATCTTGTCTAAGTAAGCGCTGACGCTGGCCTCTTGGTAGAAAGGCCGACTGAAGTATTGCGAGAACCCGCCGCCGGAAAAGCTGATACCCTTCTCCGGTTCGATGCCGTGCGTGCCGCCGACCGCGGTGACAAACGGACAATTTGCCGGGAACGTAGGCTGGAATACGGTGGTGTTGGTGCCGTCGTTGCTGATGCAATTGTCGCCCACGCCTCCGTCACCGCTGCTGAAAATCACCGAGACCCCGCGGGCGCCCAGCTGCGCAAACAAATTACACACTGTATATGCGTATTTCTCGGGGACGCTCTGTTCATTTTCGCCGTAAGAGGTGCTGAGAACAGCGGGAAGCTCGTCGTCGGGCAAGCCCAGAAGATAGTGGAGCTGATCGAGGTAGGGCTCGTTTTCTGCGTCCGTTGTCTCGTCTTGGCCGACCTGGGGAACGAAGGGGCCTCGCCCGGCGGTGCTGTAGTACACGCCAAGCGCCTTGTACGCCAGAGAAAAGGCATACTGGATATCGAGACTGGCTTCCCCGCTGCTCCTTGTGTCGTTCTGCAAGTTGCGACCACCGTTGATGGAGACCGCAGTGAAATTGGCGTCCGCCCGATCGGGCGCAAACCGGTGTAGAAATTCTTCAAAATCACCATAGCGGGCATACTGGTCCAAATACCCCGAAATGCCAAGAATGTTGCGCTTGTCCGGTTGAATATCGGTGTCGTCAATTTGGTACAGTTCGCGAAGACAATCAGGGGTTACATTTGCCGCGCAATCCCCGTCCACATCCTCGGCCGAGATGATAATCGGTTGGACAGTTACCTGGGAGGCCAGCGCCCCAAACCGCGTGGTTGGCTGAATCATATAAACGTAGGGGTAGATGTCCCGCGGCACTGAGTAGGTCAGCGTCCTGACTACTGACGCCCGGGGCTCCCCATCTTTGACTGTCTCTTGATAGAAGCGGTAGAAACGCGTCCTCAGGATTGACTCCGCATGTGCAACATCGACCGCGAACTCCACCCAGTTCCCATGCACATCGATCGATTCTGCAGGCACATGTTCGCCTTCAAGCCAGGCCACGACCTTTTCCGTGCCCTGATCGAAGGGACGCACGAAATCACTCACGACTTCGCGGCTCATGTGTCTTCCATATTCCTGATGTCCGGGGGTGGAAAGATCCACCACCCTTTGCTCAAAATCGGCGGGTTTCTCTTGGTTCAGCGCCAACTTGAACCGCATCAGCTTCGACCGAATCGTGGGCTCGCCCTTGACCCAGCCCTCCGGCACTCCCGGTAGTTGCTCAACGACGACATATTCTGTCCCTATGGCGGCAGCGGGAAGTACGCAGGATGCCACGAGGGATAGACATCCCACCAGAGAAGCAAATCTGACCATCAGGGTGTATTTTGACGACAATACCGATCGAATATGGTGAGTTTTCGCGCGGCTTGGAGATGAAAGAGCGGTCTTCTCCGTTTTCTAGTCACGAAGGCGCAGAAAAAACGGTACCTTGGGATCAAACAAAGATAGGGATAGCCACCAGTACCAGCTATTAAGCCCCAAACAGCCTATCGGATTCGACTCATACCGGCTGCGCAAGAGACGGCGTTCAGGAAAATTTAATCTCAACCAGGGGTCTTGGTCTTCTTGGTCTTGGGGCCTCTTGCCGACGCTCAGTGGTCGACATATCAAACTGCGCCAGAAAGGACGATCTCCGGCGTATGTTGATCGTGGAAATGCATTCTCCGCATACTTAAAGGAGATTGAGAGTGGCATCTCCCTTGCATGTCTCATAATTGGGGTCAGGAATGATCGGGCCTTGAACGGATTGATCTACATTCAGTGGGTTTCCCGTGTCATTGCCATGGCGATTTATCGCCCTTGATGGTAACATCTCTATAGTGTCTTGGGACGCTAAGTCAAGTTCGAAGAAAGGGATCCACGCCTAATACGAGGCGACAATGAAAGCTTCGATATAGAGAGGAAGACTTAGGGGGTAATTCGGTTGGCGATCGTCCACTTGACCTAGACTTTCGGTATCTATTATTGGGGATGGTTCAATAGGTTGTTGCCCGTTGTTTATTGAAACCTCGAATAGGTCAAGGCCGACTAATATGGCGACCAATCATGGTGTCCACACGTCCCCAGTTCCATGGTTGATGGTGACGTCGACGCTTGGACATCTGGGGTCAAAAGTCTAGTATTAGTTAGTTATAATGCCACTTAACGAGATGATCCATCGAACATGTGCTCGGAGATATATAGTTCGCCTTAGGGGATTGCGGTTCATTCATTAATTTGATTATCTACGCCTTTATCTGATGTACTATGCGCGGTAAGATCACCGTGTACTTATAGGGACAATGTATTCAAAATAGTACTACAGGTATACTGTGCAAACAAAGACCTAAATATTAGAATCTGCTGTAAGAGCGATATTCTAGGAATATCTTACTATAGTATTCAACATACCGTTCTTAATAAGTAGCCATACTATTCCGTAAATGCTAGTAATTACCACTGATAATCACGATTATTACTATTGATCCAACAAGGACGACTCGACAACAGAGCGTTTCAGATGAGCTGTACAAGCCAATTGTGTGACAGCCGCGGGGTGATCTTTATTCTCTTTCGCCTCTTTTGTCTTAATGTACTTTTTTCTTTCTTTTGCTCTACGGTTTTATTCTCCGATTTGAGCTATCATAAAAATCATAGAAATCAAGAAACAGTAGATCGCATTCCTCATAACGGTAGTAGAAATACGGAGTAAAGACCATGTCTTGTTTACCCAACCTAGAACACGGGGATCATCAGGCTCGTAGATCCCCACGTCATCACAGCCCTGAACAACAACAACCTCTCAGCAATGAAATTGATCCCTTCAAGTCATCACTGACGCGCAATGGATCTGTCCTTCCACGACAGCAATATAGGATCCGATGTCCACCGACGATTGGGCAGCATCAAGGCCCGAGTAGGACAGCAACCTGCAGCCTCGCATCAGCTGAAACAGATGCCTGGCAGGTCACCTGCTAAGGCCGCTTCTCGGCCCTTTTCTCAACCTCCCATCTGCTCAATCCCGTCAATCGAACATATATGCGACAAAGAACACGGTGACCCTTCTAACCCAGCTTGGTTCCGCTATTTCACAAAACAGGCAAACCCCATTGACGAGTTTCGGCGCGCGCTTATGTCCGAGGCGTGTTCGTCCCTGTCTCCCTCATGTCACACCCACTGGTGGCAGCAGTGTGGGAACAATTGGGACGTCGAGACCTAGCCAACATCCTCCGCGAGATTATCGGCCAACATGCCGTCGATATCGCCGTTCTCCAGGCTCAAGATGATCAGGCGTCCAAAATTGAGCCGCTGACTCGGTCGGTGTTCTGGATTAAAACCATCTTTGACGCGCAGCGCACCCGTTTACAGGAATTGGTGACAACGCACGACGCGCCGACTAGCAATCACTCGCCTTACCTACTGCCATCAGACGCGATCTTCTCCACTTTGATGTACCTGGTCCAAGTCAAATCGAAACTGTTTCCGTGTAATAAACCGGTTGCACCGGGTCTCATGTGCTATCGGCACTTCATCGCCCATACGTTGTTGGCAGGGATCCGATTGCTTGTCCTTCGTGGTGATGATATATCGGCCGAGGATAAATTCAACCTGGAGCGTGCAATGGCGGCGGCGTGGCAGCATCCAGATCTAACGGGTGCCGAGCTGTTTTTAATCAACGATCTGCTACCCCGCGCGGTATATAGTACGGGGTCGTTGGAGTTTTCGGGTTTCCGCATGGCTCACCTTACACAGGACGGGAAGAACCCGCCCGTCATTCCAGGACTGGTACGAGATCATGATTCTTACTTTGTTCCACCTCCGCTAGGGCACGGATTTAGCTAACAGAGTTGAAAAAGGAGCGGTTGGATGGAAATCCGGAGTCACTGATCACCGACCTCCTCACAGCACTTATCAGAAACAAAGCCGCCACCCTCGCACCGTTCTGTTGGTTGTACGATATATTATGCTCCGCAGAGTCGGGCCTCATCCAGTGTCATATTAACTGGCGTCGCACGTCGCAGCTGGAGGGACCTTCCAGCCCTGCAGCGGACACCATAGACGATACACTGGATCAAGCACGCAACACCCGGACAAAACTGGTCCGGACGGTCTTAGCCGCATTTGATGACGAGTTCGAAGTCCCTTCTCTCCAAGTACTGTCCACGGTCATTTTGAGCCAGAGTGCCGACGACCACCCTCCCCTACAGACCCGGAGGATTCGAGATAACTGGGCGCGTCTTGCGCCCATGAGGGAGTTCTGGGAAGCATCACTGGGGCATCTTATCCGATGGTTGATCAATCGCCGAGTCCAGACGTGGGATTCCAACGGAGAACTCGATGCGAACAACCACGACTACCAAGCCCATCTGGCAGAATGGCTCCAGGCGTCCCCGCTCCCGGGGGCTAACCCTCTGACCGAGACGCGTGCCGACAGTGTCTATATGGTTGACTGCCCCGCGGGTCACGCAGTTCCCAGGAAATTCTTGGACGAACGAGTAAGGTCGTCCGACCCATGTGCTTATGAGGTATGAGCGCTCTCATATCTGAAATTTGCATCTGTCAGCTTCCCTCGAGCGCGAGCAGAAACGATGCGACGAATCCACGCTCACTTTATACCAGAGGCTACAGGATAACCCGCTTTCTATGTCCATTGATTGTATATGTCCTTTCTGCCCGGGAAATGTTAAAATACAGCATATCCGCCTGATTGAACCACCCGAACACCCGTCGAACGTCATGCAAGGTTTGATTCAACCTGACCCAAAGCGACGCTACTCTTTCCCCGACTCGCTCTCGCAGAAAACCACCTCTGCCTCAAGCTCCCTAAGCCACTCCACGAGTAAGTCCTCCGCCCGCCTTGGCTCGGGAGATTCCTTGAAGAGCCCCATTTCGCCGGCATCGTACTCCGGATTCTACGACATGGCACCCAAACCAGCCGCTCCAGAGTTCATGAGTCCCCTTTGGGTGAACAATAAATCTATCCCGACACAAGTGAAGAAGACGAATAGATCATTCTCCAGAGATTTCAAGGGTGTGAAGTTATCGTTATCTAGTGGGGCATCTTTGTTTAGAAGATCATCTTCCAGGTCTCGTCAGCTGTCAGATTAATGTTTGAAAAATAATTCTTTTACTTCCTTTTCTTACTGCTTTTTTCTGGAATAGACACTATGTCCATCTCATTTGTTGGCACGTACTCGGCTAGAGCATGGGACTTACAGAGACATACAATGCTGTGGGGTCCCCTAGCCCTCTTGACTGAGACCTTCTTCCCCTTGGTTATCTGGCATGGTCTGTTAGATGTGATGTTTTCGATTGTCACTTATATATAGGATACAAACCAACAACAAACTCTGGTCTTCCCCTATGATGCGATCCCATGAGACCATGAAAACTCCAAGGTCCCGCTAGGGCTAGGATAGATATACAGTGTAGATGGAGAACACTCCGGGAGTCCCTAGAAAAATGGCAAAGTGTGGAAAGAGCCTGATCTATTGCAAAAAATCACATTGCTCAGTTCCAAATGTTTTCTTTATTCAGTCTTGTCTAAACCAAGACATGTCGCGTAGCCACAGTATACGTGGAGTGAGTAGCCTCAGGCCGCAACGACCGAAACGGGACAGACCGGAGCCGGTCGGGAGCCGAGATAGTCCGGGGTCGATCGACGTCACGAGGAAGAAGAAGCGAGGAAGATCAACGTCGGTCATGTTTCTGTTCTTGACCTTAAATCTACTTCGTGTGGTCTCCCTTGCTTGAGGTAAGTCCTGAATCAGAATGATGCTGAACCTGTCAGTCATTCTCCTGGTGGCCAACCATCGTCCAGTCCTAGTAGTGGGGCAGATGATCGTCCCGGCAGTGAACCGTTGATGACCCCTCTATCATACCATCGTGCTTTCCATTCCTCAAATCTTGTCCGCTGTGGCATGCCATTGGAAGCTAATGGGTGCAATTTGTCCATTTTGACAGAGTCCCAGCTCATCGTCGACCGCTGTTCCTTCCCGGGGTTTCGCCTGCGTTTGCATGGGTATCTAGATCGTACTAGATCTGGAAGGGCTATCCTACGTAATATTTGTCAATCCGCCCGGGTCGACGTCATCAGTACATCGAAGCGCCCTTTCCATTCCATCCGAGCTTCTGGTCACTTTCATCCCTCTCCGGACGGAAAATTTAACATCATCTCGTGACCGATCTGGACTTGTTCACTCCTTCTCGGCTATGACCATGTCGCAAGCGAGCTTTACCGATGCGCGACGGCCGTCGCAGTCTGAGGACCAGACTATCTCGAATGCGGAGATCCCGTTGAAGGAGCGGTTTTTCCGTTACTTTCAACATGAGATTACCGGTGTGTTTCTGCGCCAGGTCGATTTGTCTTATTTCTTCTGACATCGCTGCCTGTGACAGCACTCCAGGAACAGATGGATCGCCTCGCTGATACGTCCCTGGTGGGCGGCGAGCGGGCCGACGCGACTGATCACTGCTTAGCGGGAATCGCACGGTTGTCGAATGAGGTCAAGGATTCAGCTAGCTACATTCCTACCTACGACCAACGGATATACGCAGAAGTAGGTCGCATATACTCTGACGAGTATTTGAGGGAAAGGAGATATGTTGATCTTCTTTATCATTAGGCTATCAAAGCACTCCAGGATAAATTGGCAGAGACTCGTGCGTTGGTCGATCCGCGACCTAAGTTTAGCTTCAAGACCAAGAAAAATACGTCGGCGGTGTCCCTGGCCGACGCAGCGCAGATGGCTGCGCAAGGACGTCGTGGGATCCCCGGGTATCGCTCCCCCGGGACATCGTCCATGGAGTCGTCGACGGCCGCGACCCCTAACTACCCCTCGACACCGCTGAATGAACCCGACCAGCTTCAGCAGCGAAAACCTGAGATCACCCCAACCTCTGCTCCGATGCTCTCCGTGGAAAGCGCGTACGACCGACCGAAGCACGGGGGGCCGACCTCGACCGGCTTTTCGGCGTCATCCATTGCCTCCGTGACGGTGCACGACCACCATCGGCTTCACATCATGCTCCCGGCTTCTGGATCCACAGATACGGTGCCAGCCTCGATCACGTCGCTGCGTCATTGCGTCGTCGACATGTCGATCCCGACAGCCAACGGCAAACCCTACGCCAGTCTGACAATCAAGGGTGTGAAGGATAGCCTGCTTGTATGCGGACAGGTTGATGGACCAGCTCATATCACCGGGGTGGAAAAGAGCGTTATTGTGGTGACGTGCCGGCAGTTCCGGATGCACAAGTGCTCCGATGTTGATGTGTACTTGAGCTCATCCAGTAACCCGATCATTGAAGATTGCACCAATGTGCGCTTTGCTCGGATACCCCGGGTTTATGTTCGTACTTTCTCTAGCCTACCCTGTCTGGCCATGACTAACAATCGCAGGCCCTGGACCATAACCAAGCGGGTGTCGAGGACCGCTGGAACCAAGTGGAAGACTTTAAGTGGATTAAGCCGGAGCCAAGTCCGAATTGGCGTCTGATTCCCGACGCCGATGCGGTGCCGGAGGAAGTCTGGGCGGAGATAGTGCCGGGCGGCCCAGGCTGGTCCCTGGACGACATCCTAGGCGCACTTAACCTAAACAACTAATTTTGAGAACCCTATCAGCCGGTTCACTAACCTCAGACTGGATCAGCACGAGGGGAAGTTTGGCTTTTGCTCTCTTCCGGCGTTGCGGTAGATTCAGTGCGCAACGCGGTCCTTGCCTTGAATTATGCCTACACGTTTTGGACCGGCCGCTTGCGGCAGACGGGATCCCGTCGGACGGTCAGACTATATGAAAAGGACAGAAAAAAAGGGGTAGTGATAATTGGCATATGGAGAATCCAGATTGCACAGTTGGCGTCAGGGTGAAGGGTCTTTGAGTTGTATTAGTACCAAATGCAGACAGCAACGCGCAATGCGATATGATCCGTTCTAGTCACATTATCGACTTAGTAGTCTAGTAAAGGTTGCCTGATATTCCTCCCCCAAAAATGTGATCCGCTCTAAAATTCCACCCGGAAGACCATCATCTGGCTGTCGAGGTCGTATCCCGATTCGTCGGCGTATTTGAAGTCGCCGAAATTCATGTAGCCTGCCTAAGTTAGTATAGCCAGTACAATGATTCACTGTCAAAGAGAGAGGGAACTCGCCATCCTGTGTCATAAAATCATTATCACTAAAACTAAACAGCAGATACTCCTTTCGACCGCCACCACTACTCTGATCCGGATCCACCGGCAGCAGCGCCAAACTCTCCCACTTCTCGTTTAGTAGATGCTTATCCTGCGGGCCCCCATTATGCAGCCCGAACTTAGCCAGCTCGGCATCGAGATTATAATCGATGAACGGGCAGTACTGAGCAGGCGTGATGTCGTTGTGCAGCACACCCTCCGACGAAGCGATCGCCGCCGTCGCGCCGTCGTAATCACCCCGCAGATCGGTCGTCTTGTCTGTAATGGAGAAGATGTCTGCGTGCCGGTAGATAGACCGCGAGTCGGACTGGCCGTGGCCGGCGTCGGAGTCGCGGGATAGCACGAGGAAGTTTTTGCTGTTGCTGCTGCTGCCGGGGCCGGGATGGGGAAGGTGGTGGATTTCAGACTGGGCAGCAACGAGGTTATCCCCGTCGGCGTTGGTGTACCTGGGTAAGAGGACAGCGTACTCGTGTTTCAGATGCGGCTGCGCGGAGGAGATATCGTACTCGAGCAGCCGAACAGGCTGGTTCGTCTCATCGTCCGGCCCGCCCTCCTGCGCCAAGGCAGACTGAAGCATGGTGTAGAGGGTGCGGCCGTCCGGCGAGAGCGTCAGTGCCTCAAAGCCCTGGTTATTGCTGCGGCCGGAGGCGGGGTCCTCAGGCACAGGCATGTTCTCAGGGTCGTAGAGCGGGGGACTAGCGGCGTTGAAGCTGAGGGTGCCGTTTCGGCGCGGGAGGAATGCCGCGGGCGGCTGGATGGCGTGCTCCATGCGGCCCTGCTCGCTGAACCGGTAGACGTAGGGACCGTATTCGTCGGAGACCCAGAAGGAGAGACTGCCGTCTTGCTGATGGTGGAGGGCGAGGCCTTCTGGGTCTACGGAGACGCGCTTCCCGCCTGCGCCGGGGCCGCCGAAGCCGTCGCCTGGGTAGGTTGATGCTGGGAGGGGTGGGAAGCCTTTGTAGTGGGCGGAGCCGGTGACGTCCGGGTCGAGGCTGGTTAGGGGCTTGCTGTTGGGGTCCGTTAGGAGGATGGTGTCTTTGTATTGGAGGTGGATGTTGGGTCTGGATGGGTGCTGGGCTGTGGCGTTGGGGGTTAGGTGGAGGGTGAGGTGGAATTTGTGGATGCGGGATTGGAAGTTGATTGTGCCATTTGTGTTCCTGTTTGTGTTAGTATTTATCTTCCTTGTGTATGATTCTTTATGGTGTATATGGAGGTACGTACCACCCCCGATCTGGGAGGCAGTAGACGGTGCCCTCGTAGGAGTTGGGCGCAGTACGCTGCCACGAGACCGGATCGAACGCGATAGAACTACCAATCCCCCCGATGGTGTCGCCGTATTTGTCACGAGCATTGGATGGTAAGCGACCGTATCCCTCCAGCCCCGTGTAGCGATAGGTGGTGTCGGCGCAAGTGGTCTGCTTGACGGCGGCGCGCGGGTGAGACGAGAGGGCGCCTGTCAGACCGGCAAAAGCAACGAACCCAGTGAGCCACTTCATGGTGAGATCGATTTCGGCAGAAGAGAGGATTCTACATTGCCTAGTCTAAGCATGTGGAGGGGGTGAAGTGACTATATAGTCGCGCCAAGGATAACACGACGACGGGGATAAGGTGGGATGGCATCATGGAATGTAAAACACAAGGATCAACGTGGGAGCAAGTGGAGAGATCCATTGGGTCAACCGCAGACTTTTTTGATTAGGATGCGCTATTTGGTTACGGATTAAGTCGTAGTTTCGTGTCTAGTGACTCCACGTGGTTGGCACTGCTGGATATTCTTTCGCGTGAACGCCCAGGTCCTGGTAGATGGTGGTGTCTCCTGCAGATATTCAACTGGTTAGACCCATCTTTCTTCTAGGCACGATTGACTTGCCTTGTCCGTGTTCTTCCACTCGAGTCTCGTTTTGCTCTTCCATCTGTTTCAGGTCCTGACCCGGTTCGCGATGTGTATGGCCGATCAGCACAAACTGTGCGTGTGCATAGTCGATCAATTCGGGTTCCAGAGGGATCCACCGGTGATCCTGGAACTTGTCCTCCACACTGCGCATCGTCAATATACATATTTCTATATGGATTGAAATGTTAAAGAAAATGAGGAATCCTACCTTTGGGGATACTCCGGGTTCTGCTTTGGCGTATTCGGCGGCCCAGGAAACTTAGGATTCTTCGACTGCACAATCCACCCACCCTGCGCCTCCAGACCGAACTCCTCTTGAACGGGTCCCATCTCCGCCGGGATCGTCACGATGTACGCCAATCGGGAGTCGTTTTGAGTGCGTGTAATGGCGTACACGCCTTCAGCGTACGGTTTGGCTTCCGGCGTCACCTGTTCGCCTTGGGTCTTGGTCTCATGCGTCTCACTCGACAGGAGACTCTCCTCAACTTCCTTCACCGACTTGCCTGCTTTCTCCACGAACCCCATCTCTCGCTGTCCCGAGGCTTTGGGAAACTGCTTCTTGGGCACCATCAGTAACCGGCAGGTGGCCCCCGCTTCCAGCGGTCCCTCCTTTTGGTCCAGCGCGGCACTTCCGGGCGTCGGGCGGAGCACGATGAAGCTGCGCGCAACTTCGTCCATGCTTTGTGCGTCGGTGACGTTGACTCGGGGTCGGAAGAAGAAGTAGATGATGCCTTTTTCGAGCACCTTGGGCGGGCTGTCGTCCTTCTGGCTGGGTTTCTCCTGGTCAGACGGGGCGGGTTTGGCTTCATCTGTTGACTGTTAATTCTTATATCGAATCGGTGGTCTCAAAGGCGTAGTTTTCTACCTTGAGCTGGCTTCTCTTCCTCCGTCTTGGCCTCAACTTTGGGCTTTTCCTCGTTGTCAGCGGCTTCCGCCTCAGATGTCTCCGGGGCTGGCCCATCCTCGCCCTCTGGCTCCTCCGTCTCCTTCTCGCCCTTCACCTCTTTCTCTTCCTCTCCACCGGCCTCCGACTCCTTCTCCTTGTCCGCAGCCTGACCCTCCGCTTCCTCCATAGTCTCATCTCCCTTCTTATCTTCCTCCTTAGTTTCAGGTTCGGGCTCCTTCTCCGCAGATTGCTCCTCCTGGGGCTCCTTCTCCGCCTCCGCCTTCTCGTCTGTCTTACCCTTCTTCTTCACCGGCCCCTTCTCCTCCGCCTCCTTGCGCTTAGCCCCCGCCCCTCCGCGACCCTTCGTATCCGGCGCAGCCGCAATAGCCTCTTTCGCCTTCTGGGCGGCCTGGCGCGAGGAAGTCCGTGTCGCTGCCATGATGTATATGGATTCCTGGTGCAATTGAATTGATTTCCGATCTGAGACTCGACAGGCAGTGCCAATGGAGAAGGGGATGGGATTCCTGTTATAACCGGTCGGGTTTCATCTTCTGTGGCCGCAATGAGGAGTGCATGACGTCACCGCTGAGGTTCTTCCGGCCAGACCCAACGCCGTCAGAGTAGCAGTGTGTATTTCCCGTTGGGGTTTAGGGTATGCGGTTTACTTGCTTTGGGTTACATGTAGGAGGTTTTATTTGGTTTATTGGGTGGACGGCCTGCGCCTTTCCCGTGGTCTAGATAGCTTGGTGTTGGGTTTTTAGTAGTTGGCTGTGTCCGGCCTAGAACGGAGTCTATCTACTGCCTTCCCAGCCATCTGCACCGCATAGATTGCGTTGCAATGACCATCCGTTGGCCATTGTCGCCTGATGTGATGGTGTTGATGGCAACAAGATATGGGATCCAATATCCCATGCCGCTCCAGCTGGTTGGAAGCACGTCGATTTCTGATACCATCTCCACGGCCCCTACTTAGCCATTGAACCGAGCGCGAGCTGTCTTCGCTTTTTTGACAGAGCGGACAACGTGATGCATCATCCTCGCATAATTGAGTAATGGAGAATGCAACCGGGCAGCTATGTGAGGCACTCGGTACAACGAGGTAGATAGCAAGAGATGTATCGGAATAGTAACCTCAGTCGATGTCCATCTGATCAGGCGCAGCAGAGTCGTCCGGCGCATTGACACTGCTGACATCAGACGACGGGTAATCGGAATTCCCGCTGCCAGAAGATACCGACTCATTTGATTCAGACATCTGAGAAGACAGTGGCTCAATATCCACATCTTCTCCGGATCGTAGGCTCCTGCGCCGTTTCTTTGGGCTGAAACCGGACACACCGCCCCGTGTATCCGGGGCTGTTTCACCCGACATTTGCCGGGACGGCCGGGTAGGCTTTCTCTTCTTGCCCCGGTGAAGTTTGCCGTGTAGCCAGCAATCGCTGTAGTCGGAGTCGCAACGGAGGTCCTCCATGGAGTGGACTAATTCTCCCTGGTCATAGTCGACATTCGCCCATGGCAGCTCCATCAGAGCTGGGAGCCTGTGGAGAGAAGGCCGCTGCATGGCTGCGTCTTCCTTCTCCTCGTCCTCTGGCTCCTCTATCGCATAAGGCGTGAACACGTGCGGGTGGGCATCGGGCCCGGGGTTGGAATCCGCCGTGGAGGCATCTTCGGTCGGAATGGGTTCTTCTGGGTGTGTATCTCGCTGAACACGCGGGCCAGAGAAGGAACTGGACGGCCTCGTTTGCTGGTAGCTGCTTGATGCCGTGGCCGGATGGGATGCCATGGGCACAAATCCCGTGTTGTTGAAGATGGTTGTCATGTCACGTCAACTTCGTCCCGACTCGAAGAAAGATGTCCCATCACAGTATGGTTCACTAGAGCGACGTGTATGTGTTTCAGGAAGGGGATAGTATGGGATTATCGGGTTGGACTGCAAGTAGATTCGGACATTGCACCGTTTCTTCCTCGAGCTGTCTGCTTTAGACTGATCAATGGTGTCAGGAGAAGATGGTAGAGGCACCCACTAGAGAGAAAGAATTGTGAAGAATCCAGCACCATTACATCGTGGTGATCTGTCTCTCGGGGTCAGACTGGGAGAAGGATCTAGAAATCTAGACCATGATGGTGACGTACGATGGACCCCCGATTGTATTCCTCAGGCAAGACAAGAAGAACAAACAGGGCAAAGATCGGCCAGGGACGGGAGTGCTCACCGCCCGGACGGTCATTGGGCGGCAGGACTCGCTTACTGTTGCACGTTACCGCCTTGGGAGATGTTAGTTAGTTGTCCCTACTGCTCTCTTACCTTGGCTGACCTACACTCCATCTGTCCCTGTCCAGTTCACTCTCCCCCTCCCCCGTTACTTCTTCGGCTTCAATTCCTTCTCACCGTTGACCTTGACTGCAGTGGATGCGGTGGTCCCGGCTGTGATTTTCTTTTCCATTGACTGTGCGGAGCTTGCTACTTGATGGTGCGGCTCCGGCCTACCCTTTTCCCCCTTCATCATGCAGTCCTCCCCGAATATGCTCACCAAGGTACGTACAGGCCCCCACCTATGTGACTTCGCGGATTCTACTGCGTTGTACCCAATCGCTCGAGTCTAACACGCTGCAATGAATAGTTTGAGTCGAAATCGTCCCGCGCTAAGGGAATCGCCTTCCATCCCAAACGGTGCGTGGCCTCAGCACCCCCCCAACGCGTTGTCGCAAACACTGACCCTGTCCCTGAAACAGGCCATGGATCTTGGTCTCCCTTCATTCCTCCACCATTCAATTATGGGATTACCGCATGGGAACCCTGATCGACCGCTTCGAAGAACACGATGGCCCCGTCCGAGGCGTTGATTTCCATCCGACGCAACCCCTCTTCGTCTCCGGCGGTGACGACTACAAGATCAAGGTCTGGAGCTATCAGACGCGGAGATGCCTGTTCACCCTCAATGGCCATTTGGATTACGTGCGAACGGTCTTCTTCCACCATGAGCACCCGTGGATCGTCTCGGCCTCCGACGATCAGACCATCCGAATCTGGAACTGGCAGAACCGGTCGTTGAGTAAGTCGGGTTGGGGGGTGACCTCTTCCGAATCATACTGACAGGCGACGCGCAGTTTGCACTATGACCGGCCATAACCACTATGTGATGTGCGCACAGTTCCACCCGACCGAAGATCTGATCGCTTCCGCCTCGCTGGACCAGTCCGTTCGTATCTGGGATATCTCGGGCTTGCGAAAGAAGCATTCGGCCGCCCCGTCCACCGTATCATTCGAAGACCAGATGGCGCGATCCAACCCGAATCAGGCAGATATGTTTGGAAACACCGATGCGGTGGTGAAGTTTGTGCTGGAGGGTCATGATCGGGGGGTCAACTGGGTGGCCTTCCACCCCACCCTGCCCCTGATTTGCTCGGCGGGTGACGATCGCCTCATCAAGCTGTGGAGAATGAGCGGTGAGTTCCCATACCTGGCTGGGTGAGTTGCCAACGTATCGTCGCTGATAAGCTCTTTTCTCTCGTTTATAGATACGAAAGCCTGGGAGGTTGATACCTGCCGTGGCCACTTCCAGAATGCCTCTGCCTGTGTTTTCCACCCCCACCAGGACCTGATCCTCTCTGTGGGCGAAGACAAGACCATCCGGGTGTGGGATTTGAACAAGAGGACTTCCGTGCAATCCTTCAAGCGCGACCTCGACCGATTCTGGGTGATCGCCGCTCACCCCGAAATCAACCTCTTCGCCGCCGGCCATGACACGGGTGTCATGGTCTTCAAGCTCGAGCGCGAACGCCCGGCATCCGCCATCTACCAGAACCAACTCTTCTACATCACCAAGGAGAAGAACGTCCGCTCCTACGACTTTGCGAAGAATGTCGAGTCGCCGCCCATGGTCTCGTTGCGGAAACTGGGCTCCGCCTGGGTGCCGCCTCGCACCCTCTCCTACAACCCCGCCGAACGAGCCATTCTGGTCACCTCCCCCACGGATGGCGGTGTCTACGAGCTGATTCACCTGCCGAGAGATGCCACGGGTGCTGTGGAGCCGACCGACTCCAAGCGCGGCCAGGCCACCTCGGCCGTCTTCGTGGCCCGCAATCGATTTGCGGTCTTCAGCCAAGGCAGCCAGCAGGTCGACATCAAGGACCTCAGCAATTCCACCACCAAGACGATCAAGGCGCCCGCGGGCACAGTCGACATCTACTTTGGCGGTACCGGCTGCCTGCTCTTCATCACGCCGACGACGGTCGTTCTGTTCGACATCCAGCAGAAGAAGCAGCTCGCCGAGCTGGCTGTCAGTGGTGTCAAATATGTGGTGTGGTCCAATGACGGTCTCTACGCCGCCTTGCTCAGCAAGCATAACGTCACGGTCGTCACCAAGTCCCTGGAACAAGTCAGCAGCTTGCACGAGACCATCCGCATCAAGAGTGCGGCTTGGGATGACACCGGCGTCCTGCTCTACTCGACCTTGAACCACGTCAAGTACTCCCTGCTGAACGGAGACACCGGCATCATCCGCACTCTGGACCAGACCGTCTACCTGGTCAAGGTCAAGGGCCGGAGTGTCTACTGCCTCGACCGCAATGCCCGGCCGCGGACCCTGGAGATCGACCCGACGGAGTACCGATTCAAGCTGGCTCTGGTGAAGCGGAACTACGATGAGATGCTCCAGATCATCAAGACCTCGAGTCTGGTCGGACAGAGTATCATCTCTTACCTGCAGAAGAAGGGCTACCCGGAGATTGCGCTGCAGTTCGTGCAGGACCCGCAGACCCGCTTCGAGCTCGCGCTGGAGTGTGGAAACCTCGACGTCGCCATCGAGATGGCGAGAGAACTGGATCGTCCCCAGCTGTGGACCCGACTCGGCTCGGAGGCTCTGGCTCATGGCAATCACCAAAATGTCGAGATGGCCTACCAGAAGCAGAGAAACTTCGACAAGCTCTCGTTCCTGTACCTCTGCACTGGTGACCAGCAGAAGCTGGCGCGGATGGCCAAGATCGCCGAGCACCGGGGTGACTTCACCTCTCGCTTCCAGAACGCCATCTACCGTGGTGATGTCGAAGACCGGATCCAGATGTTCAAAGAAGTCGACCTGTGTATGTGACAAAGTCCCAACCCCTACGTTGAAGCATTCGCCTTTGCTGACCCGTCTTTTTTTAGATCCCCTTGCATATCTCACGGCCAAGTCTCATGGGCTGACCGAGGAGGCCGAGTCGATCCTCGAAGCCTGCGGCCTCACAGAAGATCAGATCACGCTCCCGACGTTATCGGAGCCTTCGCAGGTGCCGCACCCCATCGCCCCTACGTTCAAGTCGAACTGGCCCGTCAAGGCTGCCGGCCACTCTTCCTTTGAAAAGGCTCTCCTTGGCGAGGTTGGTGCGGGTGACGAAGACGGCATTGGCGCTGAACTCGAGGCTGAGGAGGAAGAGGACGAGTTCGTCGGTGCCCGGGATACGTTGGAGGACGAGGATGAGGACGTGACCGGATGGGACATGGGCGATGAGGTCAACGTCGAGGAGGACGTTGATCTGGTCGATGTGGAGAGTCCGGAGGCTGGGGCAGGAAGCACCGAAGCGGACCTCTGGGCGCGCAACTCGCCTTTGGCCGCGGACCATGTTGCCGCTGGTTCCTTTGATACCGCCATGCAACTCCTCAACCGCCAGGTCGGTGCGGTTAGCTTGGCCCCTCTGAAGCCACGATTCATGGAGGTCTACAAGTCTTCGAAGACCTATCTCCCGGCGACCGCTGGCCTGCCGCCATTGGTGAACTACGTGCGCCGGACCGTTGACGAGACTGACAGCCGCAAGGTGCTGCCCGTCATCCCGCGTGACCTCGAGACGATCGCCAACGCCGATCTCCAAGAGGGATACGCTGCGATGCGCGCCAACAAACTGGAGGATGGAATCCAGATCTTCAAGAACATCTTGTATTCCGTCCTGGTGAACACCGTCTCCTCCGACGCGGAGGTCGAACAGGGCAAGACGATCATTGCGACCGCTCGGGAGTACATCCTCGCGATGTCGATCGAGCTGGCTCGTCGTTCCCTGTCCACAGATACCCCGGAGGGCCTCAAACGCAGTCTGGAGCTGTCGGCCTACTTCACGATCCCCAAGCTGGAGGTCGCCCACCGTCAGTTGGCCTTGATGGCCGCTATGAAGCTGGCCTTTGCCAACAAGAACTACTCGTCTGCGCTTAGCTTTGCCAACCGTATGTTGGCCAACGGTGGCGCCGCCAAGCTTCTTGACCAGGTACGCATTCTTTCCCTCCTTTTTCCTCACACGAAAACTTGATGCTAACCCGACGAAAAACAGGCCAAGAAGATCAAGGCGCAATGCGAGCGGAACCCGCAGGACAAGATCGACATCGAGTTCGACCAGTTCGCCGAGTTCGACATCTGCGCGGCGTCCCACACGCCCATCTACGGCGGGTCTCCCAGCGTGTCGGATCCGTTCACAGGAGCCAAGTACCACGAACAGTACAAGGGCACCGTATGCCGGATATCCGAGGTGACCGAGATCGGGGCGCCAGCCAGCGGGCTGCGGTTGTTCGTCCCGGGGCAACACTGAAGAGGTGGGACGGGATTCTGTGTACCGAATGAAAATGGAATTTTCTGGGGGGGTTGGCCGGCGTGACGGCTGGAGACAAGCTCCTGCTCTCTTAGATGTATGAATCTTCTGTTGTGTCTCCGATAATTACTGGTCAGCGATGTTAGCTTTTCTTTTTTCTTTTTCTATTTCTTTTCTTTTTTCTAACTCTTTTTTATTACTTTTTTTCTACCGCTGTTTTCTTTTTTGATACATTATCTGCAATATAAACCTGTCTATTTCATTCGATAAACAAGAGTGGCATTGATTGTACAAACATCAGTAGAGTGGAGACAGCATATAGTACAGTACACCAAAAATACATCATCTCCCACCGGATGTCTAGATAAACACACGCAGAGAAGTTGGGAGGAGAGAAAAGAGAGATCAATCAATCAATCACACCTCCCATCCTTCCACCCGGTCCTCCACCTCTCCTCCCAAAACCGACAATCAAACTCCCGCTTCCCCAACTTCCGATTAACAGCATTATGCGCCTCACACATCCACGTCCCGAACTCGGAGCGCCCACCCAGCCGCGGCTGGTTGCGCCCACTCGGCTCCGCCATCCAGGTGCGGAAGTCGTCTGCGCACACCCAGCACGGGTAGAGGCGGCCGAAGAGGCGCAGGAAGGACTGCATGTCGGTTTGTTGCTCGGGCGAGGCGCGGGCGGGGTAGGCGGCTGTCATGGAGTGAAGGAGGGTCCAGGTTGAGCGGCCTAGTTCTTCGACGTCGGGGGGGCATTGGGTTTGGGATTCGGTTGGGAGGGTGGTTGATGATGCTGCTGCTGCTGCGGCGGCGGTGGCGGCGGTGGAGGCGGCTGCTGTGGGGGATGCTTTTGGGGGAGGGGGGCTGGAGGTGGATGTTGTGCTCGAGGCGGGGGTGGATGAGGAGGAAGAGGAGGAAGAGGAAGGTGAAGCTTTGGCTTGTTTGGTGAGAGAGCGCCAGGATGCGGCGGAGGTGCAGAGGCGACATCTGTATACATCGTAGCGTCGTTAGCTACCCCACTGTTCCAAAGGATACATGCAATATGCATGCATAAGAATGGAGGACTCACGGCTTTCCGTCCTTGTCTAGGACGACGCCATTGGGGAGTTTGGTCAGCCCGGTGTGTTCATCTTTGGTCCCCTCTGTTGGACCAGCGGCTGCAGGAGTTTGGTGCATGAAGAGGGTCTTGGGAGTTGGATTCTGGGGCTGGGACGACGTGGTGGACATAATGCCGGTGGTGAGATCCGCGATTGATCCGGGGTGTAGATCGGATGGTGGATGATTTGAAGCTCCAATTGATGACGTTGTGTTGCGGTAGACGGTGGAGTGATAGCTGGACTGTGACAGGCAAGGAGAGGGTTGCCGTCCTTGCTGTCCTCGGTAACTTGAACAATCCGAACGAGTGCTGAAGTAGATGGAAATACTGAAATGGTCTGGAGTCAAAAATTCCGGAATCGATGATTTAAAACGCCAAATTTAACCATGCAACGTTATCAGCAGCTTTGTCAGCATGGTTTTGTTGTTGCGCCGAATCGGCCGACTTTGCGATGCTCACGGAACCTGTGCAGTCCAGGTCCCTTTTCTAGTTCGTCTGCCTGTTGTGTCCATTGTTTTGATCATTGTATCTGCTTGGTTTTGAATTCTTTTAATATCAATGGTGGATCTTTTGTCTGCAGTCTATCGATTTTAGGTTGACATCACGAGCCCCGTCGCGTTAGTTACGTGTTTGCCGTCCCGTGCAGTCAGTCCACGACTACCGCCATTCCTACCATCATTCCCATTCCATTGCAGACTCCGACCTGGGATCATACAGATTTGCAAGACGACATATTGTGCGATTAGCCGAACATGGCACCCCGATACGCTCTCTCCGAATCCGAGTCTGGCCCCGACGCCGAAGAAGCACCCGCCGCGCCCTCGGGGAAGACGCTCGAGAAGGCCCTGCGCGATGCCGTCGCTGCGGTTTACAAATCTAAGAAGATGGAGGAGCTGACGATCAAACGGATCCGTCTGGCGGCTGCCAAGAGGCTGGATCTCGATGAAGGGTTCTTTAAGAGCAGTGATTGGAAGGGGCGCAGTGAACAGGTTATCAAGGATGAAGTGGTAGGTCTATACTGGAATGAATCTACGGTTGACTGCTACGGAGAAGTCGGGGGTCTATGGTTTGATCTGAAGGGCTGGACTGACATGTTTCCCTATCGGTTTCTAGGAAGTACAAGACAAAGCGGCTCAGGATTCAGAGCGTGGGGTAGATGACGATGAAGGGAACGGCACCGCAGAAACCCCACAGAAGGCAAAAAGTACTGGACGCACCAAATCCGCAGGCGGTACAGCGTCACGAAAGCGCCGAAAGGAGACCACCCCTGGATCCGAGGACGAAGCCGGCGAATCCCCGAGTGAGGAAGACGTGAAGAAGCCCACCAAGAAACAGGCCAAGACGACGCAGGACAAGCCGTCACGGAAGGTTTCCAAGGACCGTGTCTCAGACAGCTCAGATGGGAGCAATGACGACGAGGATGAAGGTGAGGAGCAGCAGAAGCCGTCCGAGGAGCCCACGACAGACGCGAAAGCGGACTCGGAAAGCGAAATGTCCGTCGTCCTGGACGAAGAGCCCAAGCCAAGCCGACCCCGGAAGAAGAGTACCGACGGGCCGTCGCGCAAAGGGGCCGCTAAGAAGCCAGCCCCCAAGGCGAAAGGCAAGGATGCCGACCCTGATCCGGACCAGGCGGAGATCAAACGGTTACAAGGGTGGTTGCTGAAATGCGGCATCCGGAAGATGTGGGCGCGGGAGCTGGCTCCGTACGAGACGCCCAAGGCCAAGATCAAGCATCTGAAGGGTATGCTGAAGGACGCTGGGATGGAAGGCCGATATTCCGTGGAGAAAGCCAGACAGATCCAGGAGACGCGCGAACTCCAAGCAGACCTCGAGATGGTCCAGGAGGGGGCGAAACGGTGGGGGAAAGGCAGTGGTGACGAGAACAGCGACGAGGAGCAGCCTCGCCGGCGATTGAATCGTGGTCGGAAGACCCTGGCGTTCTTAGACAGTGACGGGGAGGAGTCGGATTAGAGGAAATAGTCGCCGGACCAGACCATTGCCGACTTCGTGTCCAAAATCAAAGATCGAATCCGCATCGTACGCGAAATTCCTGAACGATGACAGACATTGTTGCGTCATTTGACCGACTTTCCTCCGCCCATGCGCTGCGCGACCAGGCTAAACACGGCGACGGACGAGATGAACAGGACGAGATTGTAGAACTAGGTCGCAAATTTTAGTCGGGATGCTTGCCACTCATCATGATGGACCAAACGCACAGCAGTTCTGGAGTATTCGTTTTCTTCTGCCTCTGTTCTTGCCTCAACGAAGAGACGACGTAGATTGGGAAGGTTTGCCTGCAGGCGAGGGTGCAGTTTGTTAGTGACGTGGTCCATTAATCGGTCGCAGGGAAGACATAGGACATACCATGTTGAGGAACGCAGAGAAGAGAACCCAAGAGAGTAATATTGAAAGAAAGGAAGAGAAAAATCAAGAACGAGGTGATCGATGTGGAGAGATTGCAGGATAGAAAAGGGGAAGAAAGAGGTTGCATTAACGAGCCGCGTTGGCCTGAATTTCGGCCAGACCAGACAGACTCAAGAATCGTTTCTCCCTTTCCCCGTCTTCATTCCTTCCTTCTTCACTCTCCAACCTTTTACTTTCAAAGGTCCTTACTCGCTAGATCTCTCTTCCCATCCATTCTCTCGTTGATCCCCACCGGGCTAGGATGTTCTGATCGCCCTTTCCTCCCCGGTGTCGTCGTCATCCCGCAGATTCCTGAACCTCCACGCTGTCCGTCCCTGAAACCGCTCGCTCTCTGTCGCCGCCGCCAGAATTCCCCCGCAGTGGTCCGCAGTCAACACACACCACCTCCCCCCCTCCACCCCCGTACTCTCTCGGTCCCTTCTCCTTCTTATTCCCCTTTTACGGACCTGCGGAGGCGACTTACGGTCGTCGCTGAAGTTCTTCCCCCGTCAACATGGCGATGAATCGAATCAGAGGCGCCTTTGCGGTGCCCAGGAAAGGAGAAACCTTTGAACTGCGAGCTGGCCTTGTGTATGGATCTTTGCCTACCACACCCTACTCAGTTCCATTGGACACCGTCGCTGACTTATAGGCTAGTTCCCAATATGCTTATGAGCGGTAGGTTACGCATATTCGCCTTAGCCACCCCACGGGGGGTACATCGTGTCTAACTCTGCCAACAGCAAGGAGTCGATCCAGAAGACCATCATGGCCATGACCCTAGGCAAGGATGTCTCCGCGCTTTTCCCCGATGTCCTCAAGAACATCGCGACCAGCGATCTGGAGCAGAAGAAACTCGTATATCTGTACTTGATGTGGGTTGTCCCGTTTCGCTTCCTCCGCCCGCCTCTCCGTCGACTGACCCTCCGTCTTTCTCCGTTGCAGGAACTACGCCAAATCGCACCCCGACCTCTGTATCCTTGCCGTCAATACCTTCGTGCAGGACTCCGAAGACCCCAACCCCCTGATTCGAGCACTGGCGATCCGGACGATGGGCTGTATCCGGGTGGATAAGATGGTCGACTACATGGAGGAACCCTTGCGCAAGACTCTCCGGGATGAGTCGCCCTACGTTCGCAAGACCGCCGCCATCTGTGTCGCCAAGCTGTTCGACCTGAATCCGGTCATGTGTCTGGAGAACGGATTCTTGGAGATGTTGCAGGAAATGATCGCCGATCCGAACCCCATGGTGGTCGCCAACTCGGTGACGGCGCTCTCCGAGATCCATCATGCCGCCGCGGAGACCCAAGCCCTCCAGATCACTTCAAACACGCTGCGCAAGTTGCTCATGGCCCTCAATGAGTGCACGGAATGGGGCCGGGTGACCATTCTGACCACCCTCTCGGAATACCGCACCGCTGACGTGTCGGAGTCGGAGCATATTTGCGAACGAGTGGCGCCGCAATTTCAACATGCCAATCCCAGTGTCGTCCTTGCGGCCGTCAAGGCGGTTTTCTTGCACATGAGGCACATCAAGCCGGAACTGTCCCAGACCTACCTGAAGAAGATGGCTCCGCCCCTAGGTATTGCACTCTCATCTACCACCCACCTGAGACGTTGCTGATGTTCTCTTCCCCAGTGACCCTTGTCTCCTCCGCGCCGGAAGTCCAATATGTCGCTTTGCGCAACATCGACCTCTTGCTGCAGAAGCAACCCGACATTCTCGCCAAGGAGCTCCGCGTTTTCTTCTGCAAGTACAACGACCCGCCATACGTCAAGTTCCAGAAACTCGAGATTATGGTCCGGATATCCAGTGAACGGAATGTCGACCAGCTTCTGGCGGAGTTGAAGGAATACGCCTTGGAAGTCGATATGGACTTTGTGCGACGCGCAGTCAAGGCCATCGGTCAGGTCGCCATCAAGATCGAAAGCGCCAGTGAGAAGTGTGTGAACACCCTGCTGGATCTGATCAACACCAAGGTGAACTACGTCGTCCAGGAGGCGATTGTGGTCATTATGGACATCTTCCGGAAATACCCCGGCTACGAAGGCATCATCCCCACTCTCTGCCAGTGCATCGACGAACTGGACGAGCCCAACGCCCGAGCTGCCCTCATCTGGATTGTGGGTGAGTATGCGGAGAAGATCAGCAATGCGGGTGACATCCTTGGCGGGTTCGTAGATGGCTTCAACGAGGAATTCTCGCAGGTGAGTATCTTTGCCTTCCGAGGTTTGTCGCGTCGATGGCTAATGGTCCATATTAGACCCAGTTGCAGATCCTGACGGCTGTTGTGAAACTCTTCCTGAAACGGCCCGAGAAGGCTCAAGGGCTGGTGCAGAAGGTGCTGCAGGCGGCCACGGCTGAGAATGACAACCCCGACGTTCGAGACCGGGCCTACGTCTACTGGCGTTTGCTGTCGAACACGAGCGATCCAGCCGCCGCGAAGAACATTGTGCTCTCCGACAAACCGCCAATTGTGACTACGATTCACTCTCTCCCGCCCGCTTTGCTGGAGCAACTCCTCACCGAGCTGTCCACGCTTTCCTCGGTCTATCACAAGCCCCCGGAGCAGTTTGTCGGCCAGGGCCGCTTCGGTGCGGATGCGGTCCAGAAGGCTGCCATCGAGTATGTCCTCGTACTCCCACCTGACATATCCACCCTTCTAACTGGTTCACAGGGAACAAATCCAAAACGCCCGCGAAAACCCCTTGGCGGCGGCTGCGGCTGCGGCTGCCGTCAGTGGCGGCGCGCCACCCCCGCAAGCCCAGAACAACGTGGAGAATCTCTTGGATATCGATTTCGACGGTGGCGCACCGGCATCGGCCCAGAAAGAACCCGGCGCCGGCATGTCTGGCCTGGAAGGTCTCGCCGGAACGCCCACTCGAGTGGAGTCTCCTGCAGTAGGTACACCAACCGCAAGCAACAACTTGGATGACCTACTCGGCGTGTTCGGTGACGGTGGTAATGCCATGGGTGGCCCAAGCAGCGGAGGAGCCCCCAACGGCGGCAATGGTAGCGCTGACCTGATGAACGGGATGGCTGGACTGGACCTCATGGGCGGCAGCAGCAGCACCACGTCGCCCCCACCCCCAGGAGGGAACCAGAAGAAGACCAACGAAGACATCATGTCCTTGTTCTAAGACAGGTACAACGATTGCCCAACATTGGGGCGAAGCAGGGGCTGTGAGGCGGAAGATGGGCCCAGTTCAAGATACATTACATATCTTCTCGGTCAGCTAGCTGACCCATACTCTATTTGCTCTTGTCGTGCAGTTTCTTTTTCTTTTCCTTTTTTCTTCATCGCGATGTGTCGTGCATATCATTTTTCTCTTTAATTTTCTCTCCCCTTGCTGCATTAGAGAAAAAAAAATCACTCATGTCCATGTATATCCTCCTCTTTTTTTTTTTTTTCTGGGCGAGCACATAATTACCGCTGTGCGTTGTTCTTTTTCTCCCGGTTTTATTTTTTCTACCTGGTTGGGTTAAATCTAGACGTGGTATCCTGGAGTATGTGGTGGTCAGATGTGTGTCGTAGTGAAAATGCAAAGCAGTCATTCTAGCTGATTTTTCACTATTTCTCTTCTCTTGGAACGCTTTCCCCCCTTTTTCTCTCTTGATTCCCTATTTTTAGGAGATGAGGCCAAGGGCGCCCAGCCGACGATAGTCATGGCCTACCGTGTCTTACTCGGCACGGGTCCGGCAAAGGCCAGACCCAGTTTTATAATCACTGTCGGCCCGAGAATCCACGGAGATCACGGAGTTAAAAAGCAGTCAGCACGGCGTACCGAGCAATCAGAGAGGGGCTGCATAATCGAAAATAATAATAATAATAATAATGGTAAGGACTAAGGAGGCGACTAGAAAGTGTCCGAAGATTTAATCAAATCAGTCCGACTGTCATCGTGGACCGAATAATCAATCACTCGATGATCTGCGTTTCTGCAGGGAATTTTCCGCGGTGGAGTGGGATTTTCGGCTTATGCAGGGTTTTTTGTTCTTTAAATGTATGTACTACGCAGTAGGCGTTTCATGGCCTTGATGGTTGACGCTTTACGTGGATCGATTTGTGTATCCTGTAGATGGGATCCTGGGCAGATTGATCGCCTACGGACGAGAAGTATGCCGTAAACAGCACTGCGTATTCTGTCCAGCCAGGCGATCAACACTGGGTCACTGACACTGAAGAAGCCGTCCCCACTTGTATGATTTGAAAGCCGTATTTCCCTAATTGGAGGTTAGGGGCGAATAGCTCCACGTGGGACCCAAACTTTCCGTCAAGCGTTAAGTCCGATGGATAGTGCCATGGTTTCAATGCTGTGGACCCTGTTCAGGATGGATGTTATAAAAACGTGCCTGGGGCCCGCGTAGATGGTTGGGATTTGATAGCAAAAGAAACGCATTATCACTTACTGTCTAAGTCAAATTGAATCCAATCCTGAATATCGAACCCTCATTATGGCTCAGCAGACCGACTACAAGTTTGAAGGGTGGATGGGCCTCGATAAGGACGCCGCCGATGGGAAGATGGTGTGGCAGGAGTTTGAGCCCAAGCCGTGGGAGGAGACGGATGTCGATATCAAGATCTCCCATTGTGGGATCTGCGGGACTGATATGCATACGCTTCGCAGTGGCTGGGTAAGTTTCTCATTTCTTTTTGGACATGTTGTCTCCGAAGGGAACATCTGGGAGAGAGAGGATGGAAAGACAGGAGTGATCAAACGATAGAAGCAAGCTGACCATGTGCACAGAAGCCAACCATGTACCCCTGCTGCGTGGGTCACGAGCTTGTTGGGACAGCCGTGCGGGTGGGATCCCAGGCCGTGGGAGGCATCAAAATCGGTGACCGTGTCGGCGTCGGCGCCCAGAGCGAATCCTGCCTGGGGCGGTTAGGCGACTGCCCCGAATGTGCGATGGGCTGGGAGCAGTACTGCCCGCACATCAAGGGAACATACAACAGCACGTACCTGAACGGCGGTAAAACCTACGGCGGATACGCGCTGTACAACCGCACGCCGTCGCACTTCGTCGTCAAGATCCCCGACGCCATCCCCTCGGCGCAGGCGGCGCCCATGCTGTGTGGAGGCGTCACGCTGTACAGTCCGCTCAAGCACAACCAGTGCGGGCCTGGCAAGCGCGTCGGCATCATTGGCGTTGGGGGCCTGGGCCACTTCGGTGTGCTCTTCGCCAAGGCCATGGGTGCGGACAAGGTCGTTGCCATCTCGCGCAAGGCGAGCAAGAGTGAGGACTCGTTGAAGATGGGCGCTGATCTGTACATTGCTACTGAGGACGAGCCCGACTGGGCTACCAAGTATGCACGGTCATTGGACTTGATCGTCTGCACGGTGTCTTCGACTAAGGTGAGTGAGGGGCTGTAGGATTTGTTTGTTTCGTGGTGATCGAGGCGCTAATGGATTATATCTGTTCGACTGTAGATGCCCATGGCACAGTATCTGGGTCTTCTCGCGACCAACGGCAGTCTCGTTCAAGTCGGACTCCCCGACGACGGTATGCTGTCGGCGCCCGTTCCCAACCTGATGCGGCGTCTCAAGGTTGAGAGCTCGCTGATTGGGAGCCCTGACGAAATCCGGGAGATGTTCCAGTTGGTGGCCGACAAGGGGATCAAGGCGTGGATCGAGGAGATCCCCATGAAGGACGCCAATCGGGCGATTGTGGACATGCATGATGGCAAGGCTCGCTACCGGTATGTTCTGGTGAATGAGGAGCATTGATTTGACCAGGCGGATGGTATGAAGGAGACGGCGGAGGTGAGAAGGGGGAAAGGAGAATTAAATGAAGACGATGAATGTCTTAGGATGAATTATCTGCTTGCCTTATTAGGTAAGACAACCCATGTATAATTGAATGCAGCGTAGCTGGACATCAAGACCAAAAGATAGAAATCCAACCAAATCAAATCAAAGAGGGCAACATTCCTTTTTAGAGAGAAGGAACAATAGAACATTACTTGATGCATACTAAACGCAATGCCTCATATTATGAATTACTATTAGAACGTTATCTAGCTAATTGATGACCCAAGCACGATATGGAACTGGTCAATCCACTTCAATAGTAGCCTTTGGCGTGCAGGTACCAAACAGGTCGGTTAAAAGCAAAGGAAAAGAAAAACATAGAAAAAAAAGAAAAAGATAAATCCAATGGAAAACAGATGGCTTTACAACAGCGACCATAAACTGTTGCTGCCTCTAGAGGGTTGATGGCAGCTGCAATAGCAGCTTTCGTGTGATTGACTGGTTTACAGCAGAGCCATGAGACCCATGACGGCGGCCAGAAGGCCAGCGGCGGGCTTGACGGTCTGGGCACCACCAGTGAAGGAGGTGCTGGAGCCGGAGGGGTGGGCAGGAGAGACGCCCGACGGCTGGGCGGCCGGGTGCTCGGGCTGCTCGGGCTGCTCGGGGTGGGAGGGAGCAGCAGAGCCAGCGGGGTGGGCAGGAGCAGCAGAGCCAGCGGGGTGGGCAGGCGACGCAACCCCGCCAGGGGCGGCGGGGTGGGCAGGGGAGACACCAGCAGCCGGCTGCTCGGGCTGCTCGGGCTGCTCGGGCTGCTCGGGGTGGGAGGGAGCAGCAGGGCCAGCGGGGTGAGCAGGCGACTCGACCTGGCCAGGGGCAGCCGGGTGGGCAGGGGAGACACCAGAGGGCTGGCCAGCCGGGTGCTCGGGCTGCTCGGGGTGGGCAGGAGCAGCAGAGCCAGCGGGGTGGGCAGGAGCAGCAGAGCCAGCGGGGTGGGCAGGAGCAGCAGAGCCAGCGGGGTGGGCAGGA